TCTGGCTTGGGGAATGACCTGAACCCCTCAGTGCAGCCAGATCCTCACTTGGCCAAGAAAATGCATCCAAGGATCAGTGGAGGAGCCTCCAGGTAGATAATTTCCACAAGACCAGCATTAGCAGGAACAAGCTGGAGGCTAAAGCAGGGGGTTTTTTTCCACCTCTGGCTATAGGCCCTGCTGGGATCTGAGAGCAGCTTTTGGAAAATGATTTATGAGGCACTAAACTCAGAAGCATTCATTTGCTTTCCTCTCTGGATGCTTATTACCCAGAAAAAAAGCTTTCATGTGCAAAAGCATTGACTTAGGAAAGAAAGGCACAATTGCAGAGCTAAAGGAATGTCAGCACGTTGTGGAAGGGTCCTACTGTTCCCCCAGGTGACAGGAATCACAAAAACCTGGTTCCTGCTCAGATTTGTGCATGATCAGGCACTCCCAGGTTTTACTCTGTGAGAAAAACTAAGCCTGTGGGAACCTGGGGGGTAACTGGGAGCTAAATTCCTAAATTTAAGCAGGTAAAACATCAGCCAATGCCCTGAGAGCTGTTCCTGCTGGCAGAAGGACCCAGACAGATGTTTGCTGTTTCCCCAGGGTCAGCACAGAGAAAGGATCACTCCTCATCCTGCTCTGCCGGTGCCATGTGGAGCTCCCTGGCTGTCAGGTGGGGGTGTGTGGAGGGGGTGATGGTGTAGGCAGGGCCAGGACTAGAAAGGGCAGTAATAAATTAAGTGAACTGTGTGTGCTATAAACCTTGTCCTGGAGAACAAGCTCATCTGAGTGCACCTCTGCCTTTGGGGTTGGGCTTCCCCTTCCCCAGCTCTGGATGAGCTCTGGTCAGTGTGATCAAGGGCCTTGGAAGCAGAGGGCAGCCAAACAGTCTTGTTGCTTTGTTGGCCTTGCCTGCCTTTGGGTGTGACACAGTCACTACACCCAGTCCTTCACTGTCTGGCAGGATTAACTAACTCCTGCTCCTTTTTCACTGCTTACTCTTCTACTCCGTGGGGCTCGTGTGGCCCAAGGCACATCCCCACTGCCCTGGAGGCTCTAACGCCTGCGAGGGAGAGTGTGAGAATCTATTTTGCATGAAGGCTAATGTGGTTGGAAAATCCCCGTGAGAGACCTTGTTTATTACCATGGATATGCAATACCCAGCTGCTTTCCCTCTCGTTGCAGTGCAAAGCCAAACAAGGCTGGCTGGCTTCCCTGTATGCTGCCTAAACAGGCTCTGCCACACAACTGTACTACGCAGATGACAGCTGGCACTGGCAGAAACGATGATTCCTCCTCAAAATGGAAATGGGTCTCTCTAGAGGGCTTTCTGTGGCAACTGCCAGTGTCTGCCTCCAAGTTGTTGTTGGTTTTTGGGGAAGTGCTGGCTGCAGGTGCCCCTCGGTGTGTTTCTGTGTGCTAAGCAGGTAGCTGAGATGATTTTTCAAAGAAAAGATTTGCCTTTGTTGCAAATCAAAGGCACAGAAGGTGCTGGGGGGGGCTGTACAAGAGAGCAGCGTCTGATGGGTAAGGGGGTGGCCGTGCCTGTCGGGCTGTGCTGACTGAGCCACCTGTACCCGAGATGGGTGGGAGGCTGGCTGGCTTCATTCTGCCCTGCTCGGCTGTTGGTGTATTTGCTGTGGTTTGGGGGATGTTTAATGACGAAAATTGCTTCTCCGGGGCAACTAAAAGAGCTGCAGGTGCACCTGACCCTTTGAAGTGCCTGAGGGGCAGGAACCAGCCTCCAGCCAGGGTCTCCCCAGTGCTGCAGGGCTGGGCTAGGAGGGGCGGAGGGAGATCCCTTGTCTTTGCTTCGCCTCGCAGCTCCTTCCCGGGAAAGCCCGGCGAGTCGTTCTGGACCGCTGCCTGGCGGCAGGGATCGGGCTTCCCGGAGCCCTGCCCTGGGATCCCTCACCCATCTCCATCTACGTCCCGCTGCCTCCCTGCATCTCCATCTCCATCCCACCGCCTCCCTTTCCACATCCATCCCGCCGCCTCCCCGCGCGCTGCCCCGGGCTCGGCGCCGCTCCCCGCCCGCCTCCTCCCGCCTCCGTTCCCCGGACCCGCACCGGAGCGCCCTGCGGGAGCCGAGCGGCGGCACAGCCCGGCCGAGCCCCCGCGCCCCGGGCTGAGCGCTGCGGGAGCGGTGCGGGCGCCACCCGCCCCGGTCCCGGCGGTGCAGCACCGCGGACAGCTCCGGGGCGGCCGTCGGGGGCGGCGGGAGAACCGGGGGGGGAACGGGCGGGTCGGTGAGCCCGGCGGGTCCCGCACTCACCATGATGGAGAAGACGAGGGCCACGATGTTGAGGGGCCAGACGGGGCAGAAGCAGGAGAAGATGGCGAGCACCAGGTAGTCCCGCGGGCGGCCCTGCTCCGGGGCCGCCGTGCTGGTGGCCGTGGAAGAGGCTCTGCCCAGGCTCAGCCGGGACGGCGAGAGCGGCGGCGCCTCCAGGTGCCCGACCGACACCGACTTGTAGCCGAGCCCGTGCCCGTTGCGCTCCGTCTCGCCGGGCAAGGCTGCCGTGAAGGATTTGGAGCCGCGGAGGCCCTTCTCCTCCCGGCCCTCCGTCGCCGACAGCAGCTTCTCGGTCTCCTGGAAGCGGGTGGGCAGCACCGTGCCCGAGCCCGAGCCGGAGCCCGAGCCCGCGCCCGCGCCCCCGGGCGCGGAGCCGGTGCTGGCCATGGCCCGGCGGAGCGGGCTCCGGCAGCGCCCCGCCGCCGCCGCTCTGCGCTCGGGGCCCGCCGCCCCCCGGGAGGCCGAGCCGGAGGAGGGGCCAGCCCGGCTCGGCCCCCGGGGCAGGATCGGGGCCGCGGCCCGCCCCCGGGGTGTCCCCGTGCCCCCCGCTCCTCACCCCCGGGCCGCGCTCAGCCTCCGCCCGTCCCGGTGCGGGCGGCGCCGCGGCCCCCCCGGGATGCTGGCGGGGATGCGGCGGGGCGGAGCGGAGCGGTGGGAGAGCAGGGGTGTCCCCGCCGCCTCCGACCCGCCCAGCCCCGAGCTCTGTCCCGCCCCACCGACCCCCCGCTCTTCCCGGGGGCTCCCACGGGCTCCGCTCCGCTGCAGCGGTACGTGAGAGCCCAGCCCCGGCCGGGCTCCGCCTGTCCCGGCGGGGTCGGGGCCGCCGCCAGCCCCGACGGCGCGGGGGATGCCGAGGGTGGGTCCGTGCTGGGTACACACGGCCCTGCTGCCCCTGCCTCCCTCCTGGCTGAAAGCCCTTCCCCAGGCAGGTGGGGGGCGTGCAGCACAGAGCAGACCCTCACAATGCCCCTCATTGCTGCAGAGCTGGGCTGGGGCTGCCCTGGGTCAGTGCCATCTACGAGGCACACCCAGACCCTTCTGCCTCCCTGAGAGGTGCCCAAAGAGCCTGATGCCAGCCGGGACCTGCTGCCCAGCCCTGCCTAGAGCCTTATTCCATCCTGCAGCCTCCAGGTAGAATTAGGACTTATGTTTTGTAAATGTGAACCTGAGAGCAGTGGGGTTACCCAGCTGCGGGGGGGGTCTTGTGGGGTTATGCATCCCCCTTGCTCCTGCCTCTGTGACCAGCTGTTTCCATCTCTCACTACAGCTGGTCACCAAAGCTGGTGGGGGAAAAACATGGAGACGCAAATCTGTGAGGAGGGAGGGGTTCCTGTCTGAGTTAGGGTGTCATTTAAACCTTCCTTGAATGCTGGTATTGCTGGGCTCTCAACCCCCGGGTGATGGCTGCTGACAGGGCAGAGCAGGGCTGTGTGCTGCTCCACGGAGAGCTAGAGCAGGGAGAGCACCCAGAGCAGGGATGCTGCTGGGAGAAGCAGGATTCCTTCCGTGGACAGGGCTGCAGGCCTTCTTCTGGCAAAGGGAACACCTGTCAGAGGCTGAAGCCAAGATGCCTCCTATCATCAGCACTTTAAAGAGGCTCCTTTGCTGAGCAAAGAGCTCTCTCTCCTGGCTGTTGTCAGCTTTCCCCTGCTCCCAGCCCAGCTCCCTTGTCCCACTGGGGATTAGGGAAGGAGGAGGAGACCCTGGGGAGGGCCTGGCACACAACAGCAGAGGGTTGAGATGGTTGTTCCAGCATGTGCCCCTAGGTAGGGAAGGAGCTCAGACTGCCCTTTTATGTTGGCAGCCATGCTGGGAGCACTGGAGTGGGAGCAGTGGGGCTGGGGGAGCTCTGTGGGGCTCAGCACTGCGGGAATCACACAGTGCAATTGGTCCAATCCAAAAATCTGCTGGCTATGGTAAGTGTGGCTGTAAATCCCTGCCTGATTCCTGCAGCAATTCCAGTTTGCTGAGCCTCGGGTGGAAGGAGCCCTCCCAGCTGATCCAAGCTCTCTAAGCCAGAGGGAAGGGACAAAAGGGACCTTTCCAGTAAAATTCCCCCTTCCTCCCTGCCATGGGGGCCGGCCAGGAACGTGCTACCGGCCTGTCCCACCAGAGCCACTTCACTGTGATCAGGAGGAAACTGCAATTGGATGGGTGGGTTTTATGAAAGCTGACATCTGTCTCCCCTCACGGCCTCGCAAATCTGCCAGGCACAAACGTCTGTACCAATGAGCTTAGCATCAAAAGTCCCAGGGCACTAACCTTTCCCTGCTCCTGCTCCCCTCCTTCACCGATGGGAGCCAGAGTGACCAGCCAGCCAGGGGCTTTAGCATGATCCCCACGGCCCATCTGTCCATCCCACACATATTAAGAGCCAGTGCCCTGGTGCTGGGTTTGTAATTCGTATTTTCTCACAGAGCAAGCGAGAGAGAATAAATAACAGTGGCAATCAGCAACAATGAGAACTCACAAGAAACAGAGAGCTGGCACTTCCAGAGGACTTCCTACATTCCACAGTTTTCCCACAGAGCAGAGACCTGGGCAGCGCTGGGGTCCAGTACAGCTTGTTGGGGGTTCCCAGCTCTCAGCAGCATTGCAGCCAAGCTCCACATCCTGCAGTGCTTCTCTCTCATCCAGCACTCCCTTCCCGCTCCCCCCACTTGTCCCATGGATCCATTACCTTCCTGGCACCATCTTGCCACCCCAGCCCTGCAGGTCAGTGGATGGGGAGGCACTGCTGGTGTCCCCAGCTCTGGCAGTAGCCCAGCTGCCAGGGGATTGCCCCGACCAGGGGATCCTGCAGGCTGCCCGTGTGTCGCTGCTGGCGGGTGCCCCGGAGCACAGGGTGGGGGCTCCCACTGGAGCAACAGGCAGGGCTGGGCATGGAGTGATCCTCCTTCGGGCTCTCGTAGTGATGGAGCTGCCTCTGAGGGGAAAACTCAGCACAGAGAGGAGACGGAGGGCAGCGTGTGCCTGCAGAACCGGGCTCCCAGGGGAGCTGGGGGCAGCTGCCCTTCAGCCCTGGCTCCTGCGCAGGGACCCCAGCCCAGCCGTGGCACTCGGAGTGAGCGCAGGGCCAGCAGCACCCGGCGCCGTGCAGGGACAGGGACAGAGCCGTGATCCTGTTGATGGCTCGCCGGAGGGTGGCGATTTTAGAAAGCCTTTTGCCACCGAGGTCATGCTTGAGGGCCAGGCGCAGGGCGTTGAAGGCTTGGTTGTAGTCCAGAATCCTCTTACGCTCTCTGACGTTGGCAGCCATCCTCCTGGCCTTGGAGCGCACCGGCCTGCTCCTCTTCCTCACCTTCATCCCTTCAGTGTCCCCCAGGCAGGCAGCTGCTTCCCTGCCCTGGGGGACCCACAGACTCTGCCCACAGCATGCCTGGGGTGTGCCCCCCGCTTCCAGCTCCTCCTCCGAGCTTTCTGGCTCTGGCTCTGTGCCTTTCCCCACGGCTACTCCGGACATGGCAGTGGCGAGGGGGAGCGGGAGAGGTGCTGCTGTGGTCCTGCCTCCTGCGAGGTGTGGGAGACACTCCTCCAGGGACACACAGCCGCCTCTAAAAAACCCCACTACAGGGCTCGTCACGTGGCTCCCCCGACCCTCCTCACCTGCCGCAGGTGTGGCTTTGCAGAGAGTCACAGAGCGAGTCCTGCCTGGTTCCTATCCCTAGGGATGCTCCTGAGCATGTGGTACCAGGCTGGAGCATGAGGCATTAGTGCTGGGGTGCCCAGAGCTTGCAGTGAGATGCAGTGGTTGCTTTAGTCTCTGCTAAGAATTTGGGCACTGCAGGAGTTCTCCTGTGCTGCTCTGCTCTCTCCTCTGTTGGGTGGGCTGGTGGCTCAGCCTGGGCCAGGTCATCCCTGGTTTTTATATGGTGCTGTGACACAGAACCCCGTGGGGCATCACCACCCTGGCTCTTCTTTCCCCCCAGCTCATGGGTGCTGCAGCATCTCTGTTACTTCCCAGCTAAGAGAAACCAAGGCACGGAATGATGACACTGCTGAGAGAGGAGCAAGTCTTGTGGCTGAGTGCAGGAGAAGGCAAAATTACTCCTGCCCCAGGATTGGGGCTGGAGGCTCCACACAGCTGCTCCCCAGTGAGCCGGGAGCATCCATGGGCACTGAGGTAGGTGGGTGCCTGGGAAGGAGCAGCCCCAGGGAGTCAGGGGTCGGTACAGGAATGTGCAGGGCTTGGCATGCCTCTGCCCTGCGGAGCAGGAAGCAGGAATGTGTCAGGGGGGATTGGGGCAGGTGATAAAAGAGCTAAAGTGCTACCTGCATCCAGAGCCTTCCTGTCCCTTCGAAGCAGAGCAGGGGCCTGGGGGCAGAGCTGTCTGGGCTGACGTGCCTGACCGGCACTTACTTGGGGAAAACGATGCTGAAAGCAGCTTCTTGTTTCCTGAATCCACAAGCTGGTGGGACGAGGGACTTCCCAGGTGCAGCAGGTCCGGAGGCCATGGGCAGAGCCAGGTCCCCACCCTCAGAGCAGTGAGGGACAGCCACGTGTGTTTGCCCATCATCTCATTAGCAACCAGTCACTAAATGCCTTCCTGTGCGACAGGTAATGCTTTGAAAAACAGCCCAGGAGCGGGTCTGACAAATTGTTGGGGTGACTGGTGCGAAAGCAGAGCCCCTGGAGAATGTGCCCCCTTGATCCATCCCTTCCTATCTGATCGTCCTGGCTCATGTTTGATCAATAGCCACAATTAGCGGGGGGTTATTTGTCTATTGCCCGTCTCCTCTCTTGGGTCTTTGAAGCCTGAGCTAATTTAGGTGCCTCTCCTCCAGGAACCCAATAAATCAGGAGCCAGGGCCTCAGGGAGAGGGGAGGTTGAGGCACCAGGACTTCAAAGGGAGGTGAAGCTTGCAAATATTTTTGAGCGCTCACCTGTGCTCACTATGGCCCTCTTGTTCTCCCCAGCATCCTTCTCACCACCCAGCCTTGTTCTGTCCAGGAGTGGAGGCTCCCTGACCACTGACTTACCCGGTGAGCTCAGCTCAGGAGCAAGGGGATCTTCAGGATGCTTGAATGCCAGCAGGACACGGATGTCAGACCCACTTAGAGACGTGTCTGTCTAAAACCCACCTAAGCAGCACAGATCCTTGCCATGGGAATGTTTTTGCTGGTGTGGGAGGTCAGGAGGTGCAGTACAGAACAGACACGGAGGAGGCTGAGCTGGGCACAAAGCCAGTCCCAGCTGGGTGATGCTTGGGCAGAGGGAGGGGCAGAAGGAGCAGTCCCAAAGCTGCCCCCATCCTGCCCCCAGCCCCCAGGAGCTGGCTGGGGAGAGCTGCCAGGGGTTCTCAGTGTCTCAGCTCTGGGCAGCCCTGGCTGCAAGGATCCAGGCCCTGGAAGCGGGCAAGACCAGACTATAAATCACGGGGCACCGGATGCCACCTGTAATTAGTGCATCCCACTGGGCCATCCCCACCTCGTCCTGGTCGCTTCCTACCTAGGTGCCCATTACAGGGTGGGAGGTCAGCAGGAACGCCCACCCAGGCCCTGCTCTCCCGGTCCCTGCTGATTTATCACCATGTGCTGGCGAGATTTATGGGCTGAGATGGGGAGCCAGAAACGTGTTGTAGGGCTCTGCTGGCCCCATTTACCTGACAGATGATGAAAGAGCCGTAATTATCTGTCGCCACACATAAATCAGGCCACTCATGGCACCCCTGTCCTCCTCCCCAGCCTCTAAGAAGTGGTTTGGCCCCCAGGGACACCCCACCTGTGTCACACTGGACTGGGGCACTGCTGAGTGCTGGGCACCTCCCAGTATTGTCACAGCTCTCATGGGTCCCGCAGCCCAAAGGTGTGTTCTGGGCGTCTTTGCCCCAACACTGCTGCTGAGCCAGGCCTTAACTCCTGCAAAGAGCCCTGGACTGGCTGCCCCTCACCCACACCCATCCAGCACCCCCAAACCACTGCTGCTTCCAGGTGAGATCTGCCGGGGCCATCTGGGAGCACAGCCCTCATTGGAGGTAAAACCCTGATGGGGTGAGGAGGCAGCTGACATGGCCTGGGGGGGCTGCCCAGCTCCTGGCAGTGTCCCAGCACCATCCATCTTCCTTGGGAAGGCTGCACTGGGGGGCATGGATGTGCCAGAGTGAAGCAAGGGATCCTGTGCCAGGGCAGCATGAGAGCCAGGGATCAGGTGCAGGGAGGTGCCCACCCCTGGTGACGGAGGGGAAGGAGGAGGTGGCTGTTGTGACACAGTTTGGGCCCGTGGGTAAATAAATAGGGCGCTTTGTTCCTGCTGGGGCATGGCCAGGTGGCACAAGGGAAACGGCTGGTGAGTCATCCATCCACAGCCCGACATCCTGCAGGGCACAGGAGGCAGGGAAAGGCAGTGCCCTGAGGCCATGCTGCCTGGAGGCTCCTGACTCCGCCTTGGGGAGGTCCTGTCCTCCAGCACCTTGCATGGCACAGGGAAACAGCCCTGCCCAGGGTAAAAGTTGGAAAGTCCTGTCTGTTTAGGTGTGAATGAGCCATGGGCACGTGCTGCCCTGGCAGCTTAAACACAGCATGTGTGGCAGAGTGGGCACAAAGGCTTTACATGGGCCTTCACGGAATCACAGAATAGTTCAGTGCATCCAATTTAAACCTCCATTGACACAGGTTTAGGTCATTTTCTCTTGTCCTATCACTTGCTACTTGTGAGTAGAGACCAACCCCACCTGGCTATACCCTCCTTTCAGGGAGTTGTAGAACTCTGTTGCCCACCACAGGAGCTTGTGCCTGCCCCTCCATCTGCTGGGAATGGCCCATCCATCTTGAGACCAACAGGGCAGGCAGAGTTTCACTGGCCAGAGGATGAGGGTGGCCAGGAGACTGGGCAGAGCTCCACAGTGAGGGCCAGGGCACACGGCAGCTGGGGAAGGGCAGCTGGGTGGTGGCACAGTAGCCACCCCACGGCACAGTAGCCATCCCGTGCCTTCAAGGCTCCGTTGTTCCTGGCTCAGGCATCCCTCGCAGCGCGTGGGATGGATTCTGGCACTAGCTATCATGTTGTTACTGCTCTGACGCTGCCGGCACCGGGCACTCCCTCGCCCGCATCCCCCGGCCCGCAGCTTCTCGGGGAGACCCGGGGGCGGAGGGACCGAGGGTCAGAGCAGTGGGGTGCGCGTCCCTCCATTCCATTCCATCCCATCCCATCCCACCCCGCCGCGGGCCGCAGCCGAGCGGGTCCGGGGGGCGGTGGCAGCGCTGATCCCGCCCCGGCGGGGCCGAGCCGAGGCGGGGCGGGCCGGGGGCGGGCAGCGACGTCAGGCCCCGCGGCGGCGGCGGGGGGCGGAAGGCGGCGGCGGTGCCGGAGGGAGGGAGGGGGAAAAATCTCGGGTGCGGGGCGGGGGATGGCGGCGGGCGAGGCGGCCCGGGCGGACTTCGCGCGGCACTGGCAGGCGGAGTTCCCGGGGGAGCCGGCGCCCCGCATGGAGCTGGGCTCGGTGCGGGCCATGGAGCGGGAGCTGGAGCGCTGCCGCCGCCACCTGCGCCGCCTGCAGCGGGCGCTGGCCGAGGAGCGGTTCAAGGTGGGCTACCTGGAGGCGGCGCTGGCCCGCGCCCCCCTCCCGCCGCCGCCGCCCGCCGCCCCCCGCCCCGCCGGCAGCTCCCCCGAGCGAGGCAGCGGCGGCAGCTCGGACGCGGAGGACGCTTCCTCGGCAGGTGGGTGCCGCGGGGCGGCCGAGGGGGAGCCGTCCCCACCCCGCGCCCCAGCGGCGAGGGTGCCCCGAGACCCCCTGCGCTGTCCCCATCGCATGGTCAAGGGCGTCCTGAGCCGCTTCGCGGCCGAGGGCATCCCCAGCCCTCGCGCTGCCTGTCCTGCGCTTCTGTGCCATGCCCATGGCATCCCGTGCCACTCCGTCCCCGTGTCCCCATGCTGTGTCACTGCTAAGGCAATCCCAAGCCCCTGTGCCATCCCCGCTACACGGCTGATGCACCCCCGTCCTGCACAGCAGGGGATCTGATGGTCTCCCCAGGCTGTCCCCATCGTGCACCCAGGAGCACCCCATGTTGCCACAGAGCAGAGTATGCCCCAGCTCCTTGTGCCATCCCCGTCAAACAGCTAATGCCCCCCCAGCCCTTGTGCTGTCCCACCACTAAGGCCACCCCAAGCTCTGCCTCCTCCCTGTCTGACTTCCAAGGACATCCCATGCCAAGGCCCCATCATTAGGTGTGCAAGGAGGGAGGGTGGCTGCTGGTCCCCTCAGTTGGGTCTTGGCGATGTGGTGGTGGCCCAGGAGCCACCTCTGGGGCTGGGACACTGTGGAGGACTCACTTCCTCGTGCTGTGACCTCGCTCACGGGGACACCTCTGCTCAGGTGGCACCCTGTGACCTCATGTGGGGAAATCCTGGAGGTGCTAAAGCAGAAGCTTCCCGGGGTGGTGAGATGTCCTGGGGCGTTTTTCTGGGCAGATTGAGGACACTGCTATTTTGCCTGGCTGTTTTGTGGCACTGAAGGTGCAGCCAGCTAGCGCTGTCACCCGTCACGCTGTCCTACTTCCAGCGGCCTGGAAGTTGTTATTGCATCAGCTCTAAACCCAGTTCAAACACAGTCCCGGCAGCTAGGGAATGTCACTTTTAATGCTGCTAATTCTGCAGCTGACTTGAGTTAATTTTGTTCTTACTTGATTGTTTGGGGTGGTGGTTTTCCCCCAAGGCTGTATCGTGCTGGTTTAAGATTGCCTGGGTATAGTAAGTGCTCTGATGTCAAATTGTGCTTAATATTTGGTTAATTTATATTTATTGCACTAGTCTGCAGTGCTGGAGAACAGCTCGGTTTCCACTTCACCTTCCCGGGCTGTCTGGAGGTGAAATGTCCCAAGTGCATGGCTGCTCCTGGCGTTGTTGCTGTGCTGTGCCTGGCTCACACGTGTGAGTGTTTGTGCCACTCCCCAGTTGGCAGGGACTGGCTGTGGGAGCCTGGTCCCAGCCCTGTGGTGAGGATCAAGGGCATTCCATGTGCTGCCTTCAAAGGGCTGCTCCAAGTCCTTCTCCAGCTCCCGTCAGCAGGCACTGGCTGTACTTCTTGGAGAGCTGCTCAGTGGCTGAAGTGGCTCAAGTGCGTCGGAGCGACCAAGCACAAATCCTTCTGATTTACGCTTGGATCTGCATTGTATTTTTATCTGGGTAATGCTCCTGAATGTTTCCAAACCCAGGACTGTGCAAGGCTGCTCTCAGGCCAGGGAGTGTTCTTAAAGGGACTTCCCTGGATCACAGCATAAACCTCCAGGGGTCCTAGCTTCGTAAGCCAGAGGGATCCTCCAGCCCAGTACCACCCTGCAAGACCTTTGCAGCTGGTCCTGGTGACTCTTTCAGACAAGACCTTGAAGTCCAAGGCTGCATCTGCTGTGGTTAAATGTGGCCTCTTCCTCTTTCCCTAAATGGATCTTCATCAGGATCACCAGCTCCAGCGCTCATCAGAGGAGGAAGCGTCCCCTCTGCCAAGCTCCCAGCTCCTTGTCCCATGACACAGCCGGGCTCTGCACGGAGGTCAGCTGATGGCAGCGGTGTTGATGAGCCCTCCCCAGCCTTGTCCTGAGCCTGTCCCAAGCCTTTCCCAAGCATCAGCACTTTTCTTTGTTGGGTGTTATAAGGGCGCCTGTGTGCGCTGACGGCGCTGACATTTAAAAGCAAGATTTGAGAGTCCAGTAAGACGTGTGAGGTCACTGCCTGGATCCCCTTTTCATGGGCAGTTGGTTAACTTAGTGCTCCTGTTGTTTTCTTCTCACTTCTCTCTATTTTTCAGATATAATTGAAAATTCCTGATCGTGGTGCTGTTTGCTTCTCCTGCCAGCACGCTGGTGGTGTGTAACTCAGTTAGTGCTGCTCTGCCTGGGTCCCTCAGTATTTTAATGTGAGTTTTGGAGCGTAATGGTGCTGTGGCTGTGGTTGAACGCGTCAGTCCCCAGCTGTGTCACCATAACCTATGGAAGCACTATCTGGACAGCAAGTGAAGGAGCGTTGAATATCGTCTTTATGGGAATTACCAGTGGTTTCCTTTAAGTAGCTTGTGATTAATCTGATTTAAAGCGAGGAAATCTGCAAGATGCCCCTGTCTGCGGCCATTGCATGAGAGCAGCGCGTGTGACAGCCAGATACTCGATCCTGGCATCTGAGATAACGCCTGTGCCAGCTCACCCGGGACCAACAAAATCTGAGCGTCAGCGAGCAGATGGCTAAAAACGAAGCGTGGAAAGGACTAAAATTCCCTTCATCCCGGCCGTCACCTGTCCCTGTGGCCAAACACGCAGCTGGCCTCGCAGCTGAGTATGCGCGGTGCCGTGCCGGGAGGTGGTCGGGGTGTGCCGGGGCGCGGCGGTGCCCGGGCTGGGTGCTGCTTCCATCACCTCCCTTTTGCCACGGAAGGGATGAGGGGTCTGGTGCTGCGGGTTGGTACCGGCCAGGAGAGGGTGAGCTGAGCAGGAGGGAGGCGGCTGTGCTGGCGGCCGAGAGGAGGGACGCGGCGGTGCCCGTCGGAGATGCTTTGTGCCCGGCAGCCAGGTAGCGCGTGCGGAGGTGGAACGAACTCGGTGCTGGGTTTCCTCGCTTTGTCCTTGGGAAGCGGAGGAAGAGGCTGGCCTTGCCACAGAACTGGGATGCTGCGGGAGCTCCTGAAGCTCCTCGTGAAGGCTACGTGGTTTGGGAGCCCCTGACCTGCCCTGTGCAGCGCCCTGCACCCCAGAAATGTGAGCTCTGGGGTGGGGAGCGCTGGCATAGCTGGAATAGCCCATGATGGCGTTGGCTGATGGATCTGGTTACAGCAGGATGCTGCGGCTGCAAGCTGTGCTGTAAATGAATCCCCAGCCCTCTGTTTAGCTGGAATTACAGTTTCTCCCAAGGAAATATTCTGGAGTCACGTGGGCTCTTCTCGCCCCGCTGCACTGCCTTCACTGGTACCTTGGGAAATGGGAAGGGAGCTGCCGGCAGCAGCGGGGTCCCTGCCTCGGAGGGCGGTGAGCACAGAAGGGCAGCGGTGTCGGGGTGTGCACCAAAGGGCTGAGATGGGGAAGGGGCCC